TTTTTTTTTTTTTTTTTTTTTTTTTTTTTTTTTTTCAAATACAAGGTCACTGAAATCCTGAAGTGGTTAGAGTTTTGAGAAAGGAAAAAAGTGCTTAAGTCCATCGTATGATGCAGCTTGGACACGGCAATGTTTGGGAATGACTCACAGCATTCAGAAAAGCTTTTTAGAATCTGCACTTATTTTGGGTCACATATCAAAATGAGGCCATGTAATTTGCTTTTAGTGTCTCAGAATGCTTGCTTTAAGAGAAGATTCTAATCAGAAGTCTGGATATAATGTTCATGCTTTTTGGCATATATGTGCTGACTCTCGTTGATGCGTTTTCAACGTCCTCCGATGGATAGTGTTTTGAAAAAAGATGGTTACATAGCTTTTTTTCCAGCCCTAATTTTTGCAATTTAGGTCATTTAGTAACTGCATATGTCTCAGATTTAGCTTAAAAGCTAGGATTCTAGAGGGAATTCACTAGATTGGAAAAAGTCTCTATTTTATTTTACCATTCTATACAATATGGGATTTTTAAAAATGATAAACCTGAAAATACAGATGTCACTGAAAGGCAGTTTCCACACTTGTAATTGTGGATAACACCGCACACTTGGATGAATGTATGTATTCCTTCCGTTTCTGTTTTAGATCCTACATGAAGCAAACTTTCATTGCTGTTTTAGATTATCTGTCATATACGCAAACTGGAATCTTATAAGCACATATGTAGCTTTTATGCTTAGAAGGCTTGTCGTGACGCTGTCTTCCTGCATACAGTCAACACCATTTGAAACACCACTGACCTGCAGTGCACGACTATGGGCCCAGCACTGGGAGGGTTGGACAGCTTCACTCTCCGGATAAAGGAAAGAAGCCCTGTAGCGTGGTACGGAACTCCATGGTCAGGCCAGCCAGTGAAGTGGAACTGTTTAACTTCACGGATTTCATTATATGCCCTCTGTGCAAAGATGGAAAAGAATGCTTTCAAAAGGTCCCAAAGGAAACCAACTAAAGACAATTATGGGTACTAGATTTGAGTGATGGTGATAAGAATTAAACACTTATCAGACATGCCTTTTCTAAAAAAAGATATTGGCCTAACATGGCCATCTTATGAACTTACATTTCTTGTCAGAAAATTGCCACAAAAGCAAGAAAATTAGAAGTTTTTTTCAGTTCTCCGAGTTTGGATATATTTTTACTTACCATGACAGCCTGCTTCTTACAGGGAGTGACAACACATGAAATTATTTTGGGGGAAAGGAGGAAATGGGAAAGCCCTCCTGACCCAGTGTACTGAGTCTCTGAGTGCAGATTTCAATGCCTTGCTTATCCATGTTGAAAACAGTTTTGAAGCAGAGCATGCAGAATTTTGCACGACAATTTTACATTAGATTGGTTTGTGAAAATAGACAGCTAAACTGCTCTTTGGGTAGATGATTTTTTCTTAGCTCTGTGAAGTCATTCAGTGCACAGAGTATTATTTGTGGTAACACACAGGACGAAGGAAGTAAAGCATCTGTTGCCGCTCCTCTCTCCTAATGGGTTAATTGAAGGGAACCCTTAGACGAACAACTGAAAAGCTGTCTCCTTCTACTTTGTTAAGAGATGCTTGTGGATTTGAGGAGGCACAGAGTAGACAGTGCAAATATAATATCGAGAAATTTATTTTTAAAGACCCATTTGTAGAAAAGGAAAAAAAAATCATAACAAATCTGTATTATTCTAACTTTCCTGTGAGCTGCCAGTGAAGATATCAGTCTCACTTGTTCAATCAGAAAAGGCAAAAACATAGGAACTAAATAAATCAAATTGAGAATGCAGTCTGTCTTTAGAGTCTGCTTTATAGAAGCCAGTGTTAATGAAAGCTTGGAAGCTAGTGATCATGTCTTGTAATTCTTTTCAATTCCAATTCTGGGCACAACAAACTGTAAAAGAAGGGCTCAACAAATAATTTTAATAGTCCTATGATGGGGCTGGAGAAATGGCTCAGCAGTGAAGAGCACTAACTGCTCTTGCAGAGAACCTGGGTTTCGTTTCCAGCACCCACATGGCAGCTAACAGTAATCCAGAACTCCAGTTCCAGGGGATTCAACTCCCTCTTCTGACTTCCACGAGCACTAAATGACACAGATGCACTTAGATACATGAAGGAGATACACTCATACACATAAAAAAAAAAAAAAATTCCCATAATAAAAGTCATCCTGAAATCAAAGAAATGGGAAAATCACCTTCTTTGCTACTTTTTACTTCCTCTATATTAACTGTTTTGCCAGAGTGACTATATGGATGATGGTCTCATTTTCCTCCTGGTCCATGTATGAGATTTCCTTTTTATAAGTAATTTTTCCTATCTGGCAGTGGACATTCCCCTAGGAGTCTTTTATTTTAAATTTTCTGCACAGCTGGTGGTGTAGTTCAATAGTAGATCATTTGCCTAATATGCATAAGGGCCTAGATTCAATTTCTAGCACTGAAAAAAAATAAACAAGTAAATAAATGAATTTCTGACTAATGACCAAATATGTGCCTTCCTCCCCAAATCATCAATTTTAGTTCTAAATAACAATTAAAAAGTTGAAAGGCAAATTCAGTGGTATTCTATTTAGAACTGTTAATACCCCATACTCTGGGACATAGTGTAATTTTCTGTCCACTCATGTATTATTTTAAGACCTTCACTATACTTTTGTGTTTTATTCAGTTAGGACTGATGTCTTCTTAAATATATTCAAGGATATTTTGGAACATCTTATTATTATGAAAGAAATTTTCATATCTTTTATGATTATTGTTAATAAAGTAGTTCTACAATATATTAATATTACATTGAATAACTCATTTAAGTAAATGTTATTAGTTTCTTCTAAAAGGTACTATCTTTCCTTTTTTGGTATAAAATCTTTTTCATTAAAATATTTTTGGCTTTAAAAAAATTGTTACATAGTTCATTCCTTTTGCTATCTAATTTGCTAAAATTTCCAAAAATATTGAATGCTAGTGTGAATGATTATCTTCATCACTAATAAGACAATGGGACCCTCTGAATTAGTTTAATAAACTAGCAGTCTATTTTTCTACTCCTTAACATGTACTAGTTATTACTGTCACATTTTTATTTAGGAAGTTTCCTTATTTTCCTAGAGTATTACTACAAATGGCTCTTAAATACATTACATTAAATCCATGAACCTGGTAATATAATTTGCTCCTTTAATATCCTGGCACAATGATAGATTTCCCATGACAGTTGAAATATTTTCATATTCCTAGAAAAGTCATAATAGTTCATGCTACAATGTTTTCTTAATACACAGCTGGATTCTATGTTTCAATTTTTTTTTAATCTTCTTCACATTTTGAATGAAAATGGCCATTTTTGTGTATTTAGAAGATGACAAAATCACCATTATGTGAGCATTCCTATTCTATTTTGTTGATTTTGATGGTCTATGAGTAAAACTGTTTGAATAACATGGGCTTTTCCCATTCTTTAAAAGGATAAAAACCCCGCAAGTAAGAAAAAAACATAGCTCCACTTTCATGGTAAATTTAACAATTATTTTCTTTTCTTCCGACCATCTGTTCACCCTTCTCTTTTTGGGCTAATTTTTGAGGATCAAAATTTACTAGACGATCAGTAGGTCTGAATTAAGATATATGTCAAAGTTCATGCATGTATGTGAGTGCATCATGTGCATGTAACGCCTGCACAGGCCAGGACAGAGTGTCAGATTCCCTGGAACTGGATTTAGGGATGGTTGTTAGCCATTATGTGGGTGCTGGGAACTGAACCTGCATCCTCTGTAAGAGTAGCCAGTGCTCTTAACCACTCAGCCAACTCTTTAGGCCCATCACACATGATTTACAAAATAACTTTTCTAATGTTAACTATAACTACAGTTATATAGTCTTTGTTTTCTAATATAGGGTACTTTATATAATATCTCAACATTTTCAGTGTGTCTCATTTAGAACTCACTGGGATTTAAGTATTTTATTGATCTTTTCATGAAAAGATTCCTGGTTGGTGTTCCTTCTTAAAAAAAAAACACACTATTGATTTATTTATTTATTATCTATCTATCTACCTATCTATCTATCTATCTATCTATCTATCTATCTATGTATCTATCATCTATCTATCTATCTATCTATCTATCTATCTATCTATCTATCTATGTATCTATCATCTATCAATCATCTATTTATTTATATTTTATGTGTATGAGTGTTTTGCCTGGATGTATGTAGGTGCAGTATGTGCATGCAATGCCCACAGAGGTCAGAAGACGTCAGATTCCCTGGAACTTGACTTACAGATGGTTGTTAGCCATTATGTGGGTGCTGGGAATCAAACCTATGTCCTCTGCAAGAACAGTCAGTGCTCTTAACCAGTGAACCATTGCTCCAGGTCTGGTGTTCCTCCTTAATACATAAATTTACTTTGTTCTACTAATATTTTCTTGCTTTTTTTAAAAAAAAATTGATTTGTTGATTTTTATTTTATGTGTATGAGTGTCACGCCTACATGAGTGTAAGTGCACCCATGTCATGCAATGCATGTGGGGTGTCGGATCACCTGAAACTGAAGTTATTGACAGTTGTAAGCTGCCTTGTAGGTGCTGAGATTTGAAGCTTGGTCTTCTACAAGAGCAGCCAATGCTCTTAGCTGCTGAGCCATCTCTCCAGCCCCTATTTCCTTGTTTTCTAAATTTATGACTTTTTTTCATAGATGACAATCATTCATGAACACAACTTTTTCTTAGAGGACAAATTGTGATGAATTTTCATAGAAGCTGTTAATCAATATAATTTTAGTTTTGAAACAACCATTTAAGGGTTATTCAGAGAAACATTTGGTGATTTCTAAGAGCATTAGTTGTTGTTTTGCTATTGCTTTCTATTAGATTTTGGAAACACCTCTCCTTTATTGCAATCAATTAAAGTTTCCTTCATGTCTAAGTTCATTTAAGATAATTCGTGTTCTGCATTCTCTCTATGGGCCCAACATAGACATTCATTAAACCAAGCTTAGTGGGTTTGTTGAAGTCTTCTGTGTCTATGCTTATCTTATTCTATTAACTTTACCGATTTGTCTAGGAATTTTCCATTCATATTTTAGCATTGTAATTGTGTTATTCTGATGATGTTTATTTCTATTTAATTATTACCTTTACTACCTTTTTCATGTTGGAAAAATTTCAAGTATCACTGGCAAAGAATAGTATTTCCAGGTCACATATTTATAATTTAATTATTTCTCTACCACTTCATGTTTATGGTTATCTACAGTTTTCCAAGAATACAAGTAAAGATGTTGTATATAAATAAAACCCCTGAATTTAGACTTACATAAAATCTTCTGAAATGTTGCAAAGTTTTAAAATTCTATGAATGAATGCTATAATGATTTACAGAGGGCTTAAAACAATTTAACTATCATCACTAGCATATGCAAATATCTAAGTGATCATACACAATGAGGATGTTTATTCATTGTAAAAAATTCTTGTTCGTTTGATAGTACAAAGTAGTATATCCATATTCATTAAACATTTTTAATAGGCATTTTAGTGGATGCTTGTCTTCAGAGATCATAGTGTTTTCTTTTCTATTTGCATTAATCTATGAATTGATGTTCTTGATAGTCATAGGTTTGTGTGTGCCTTTTAATATTTTTTGATACAGGTAAGCGTACACTCCTGAGTGGTCAGATCTATTGTTTCTGAAGCATCCTCTGGTTCTGGCTCCCACTTCCATCACTTCTATTGACCTCCCTGCCTTATTTCTTCACCTTGAACTCAGTGGGTCACAAAAGAAACGCAGACATGAATGTGGGAAAAGAGCTAGTAGGGAGGGAGTGGGATTGATGGGGGTGGGAGGTGAGAGTAATTAAAACAAATTTCATACATATATGAAAAATTCAAAGAACAAACTTAACTAACCAAACCAAATCAAACCAAACAAACAAACAAAAACAAACAAACAAACAAACAAACAAAAACTGATTCAAGGCCCTTCAATGAGCATGGGACTCAAACTAAAATCATTGTATGGCCACACTGGCTCTGCGATTTCTCTGACTTCATTGGTATTTCTTTTCCTTTTACTTGCCTATCTCTGAATGCTGACCTATGGTTCATTTCTCCTCAGAAAAGGGAGAAGTCAGCTTTCATGCTATCATATGACTCTTACTTTTGAAGGAAGCACTCACACCCTTGCTTCTTTCAGGTCCATACGTTAATTAAAATGCATTCTTCCCTGATCACCCTTTTTCTAACATTCTGAAACATTTCCTGTTCTACCTCAATAATATTCCCTATCTCAATCCCAAAGGCTATTTCACCATGTTGTGTTCATGTCATGTAACATATCTGATTATTTTCAATTATTGCATGCCTTGCTTCAACCAAGGACTCCCCTGAGAGTGATTTTAACCTGTGTCCCAAGGTTTACAAAATATGACAAGAATTGCAGAATGAATGTATTTCATGTTATTATTGAAACAAACCTGGCAGAGATTTTTAAGAGAAAAAGTTTCATTATATATGTTTTTAAATAAAATTGTATAATGCTTACCCTTTCCAAGGTGAATGTCCTGACTACGTATTCAGCAAGTGGTTCCATTTCTACACAGGTCACTTTGAAGTCACCATAAACTTCAGTATCATCAGGCCAATATTTATAGCATTTAACCTAAAAGACGAAAAGGATATATAGGTACAAGTAGGCATGAACACATACCCATACACGTTAGCTAATGTGATATCATTCCAATGATAAACCTTTGGTCCACGATTCAAATAACCACAGCTGAAAAAATGTCACACAGCCAGCGGTGGTGGCACATGCTTTCAACATGATCACTCAAGGCAGAGACAGGCTGATCTCTCTAAGATTGATGCCAGTCTGCTCTATATAGTAAGCTCTAGATTAGTTGGGGCTACAGAAAGACTCTGTCTCAAATCACCTCAACCCCCCAAAATTATACAAAAAACAGACTCTGTGAACTTTCAAAAAAAACCTAACATTAATAATGAAACTTGATTTTAGTAGAAAATTAAATCTTTTATAGTTACTCAATGAGAGATCAAACATTTCTCAATCATTGAAGGTTCAATCAGAAGCATTCAATTGAAATGTTATGCCTATGAAATATTCTTAAGAAATTGAATATTTTCTTTTACATGTTGCTTTTCAACTATACTCATATGTATGAAAAAAAAATTTTTTTCCCTTACCCGGCCAACTTCAACTAAATTAGTGACCATCACAATGCAAGCAGACTGCTCTTGCCAGACCATTCTCCAGAAATCATAGACAGTTTCATGAACTGGACCTATAAACAAATTAATTTGCACAATACTGTAAGAGAAATTTTATAGTTAATTAGAAGCTTAGATTACATAAAAAGCAGAGTTCATTAGTTCAAAAGTTTACTGAAAAAGATATAAGTGCATATGTATAGATGAAAGTTATATAGCAAAAAGCACAGTGGCAGGTGAATGAAACCTCCTTTTGAGTTGCTGGTCAGGGTAGTCCAAGAGATTTCTAAAATAATGCATACTATTGCCACAAGCCCTTGATTTCTTCCCAGTCTTGATGGTGAGACCTTATTGCTGAAGACACTACATACTTTGAAACAAGACTTGGAGTACTTGAGCTAGAACTGATCTGGAAGCCTCCTCCCTGAAGATTAGCTCCCATAGTATCAGAAGATACTATGCAAACTGTCAAGGGAGAAAACCAATAAATGATTCCATCCAGGTGTAAAGTGTATGAACTACCATTCTGACCCAGAAAATAATCTCTACTGGTGCATTTTTATCTCGAGGGTAATCAGCAGCTGTCTAAATGGACTTAAGGACTGCTCAAGTGGAGGGAACTCATGTGTGGTACTGTAAACATAGCCAAATACATGGCTGGAGATGTTATAGAGCCTATAGAAAAACCTACTTTTGTCACATCACTAGACCAATGTAATTTCTTACTATATTCTAAATATGCATTCTTATATTTACAGACAAGTATATCTCTCATGACTCATCAAAGAGGCTTCTTTTTGCAATAGATGGAGACTATTACAAAGTTCCACAACTGGTGAAATGCAGAGAATAAGTGTCTGTGAGGTGCCTGGCCCTAAGTGACACCTCTATGGTGCAACATCTACATCTAAGGCTCAGGGAACATAGCAGAACAGGGGGTGAAATGAATGTTAATGCACTTCTCAACTCTCACCAGTGAAGCTTCCTAATGCAACAGATGGCGAATAATCCAGAAATCCACAACTGGCCAAAGTGAAAGTGCAGAGAACACGAGACTGCAGAGTACTTCTCCCTAAGTAGGACACCGACAACAAACTTCTGCCACCAAAGGCTCAGGGACCATTGTGGATGAGGGGCCAGAAACAGTGTAAGAGCCAGAGGTGGATGACAACAAGGAAACAGAGTTTTCCAGACAGCTGGGAAGTTACTCATATGAACTCAGAGCAATGGTAACAGCAGGCACAAGGCCCATGCAAGCTCAAGCCAGACAAAATCCCAGCATAGAAATGGGGAAGTGGGTAAGAAATCCCCCAACCTTAGGTGAGGAAAAAATAACTGCTGGGAGAGGAGAGAGTTGCTTTTCTCTAAGGGTGTGACACTAAATGGCTAGCCAGGTTCCAGTGAATGGATAAAAACTGAAGGATATTTGTGACACAAACTTGACTTGATAGACCTTAATATATTGGCAGTGTATATGAAATCTGGTGAGGACAATAAGGGTGATGCAGATAGGGGAGGGGTCCAAATATGATATTTTATTTACTACTTTCATTTTATGTGTATGAGTGTATTGTCTGCATGTATATTAGTGCATCCATGTCATGCAATGCCTGTGGAGGTCAGAAGACGGCACTGGATTTCCCCAGAACTGAAATTATGGATGTTGTTAGTGGGTGCTGGGAATTAAACCTGGGTCCCCTGCAAGAGAAGCCAGTGCTCTTAACCGCTAAGCCATCTCTCCAGCCCCAGTGATTAAAATATTGTATGAAATTTGAAAAAAATTGAATAAAAAATTTAAAATCAGAGTTCTTAAAACAAGCTAAAGAAGATAAAACTAGTTCAAAGTGCCACTGAAACCAAAGAATTCATATCTGAATTCTTTTTAAAAAATTTTATTTATTATTTTTATTTTATGTGTATGTGTGTATTGCCTGCATGTAGGTAAGTGCACCTGTGTTGTGCAATGCCCGTGGAGGACAGAAGAGGCTGTCGGATCCCCTGGAACTGGAGTTATGGACAGTTGTTAGCTGCCATGTGGGTACTGGAATTCGAACCCAGGTATTCTGCAAGAACAGTTAGTGTTCTAACTGCTGAGCCTTCTCTCCAGCCCCAATATCTGAATTCTTAATACATGAAAAATCATATACATATACAGACTTTTAAAAAATTATCTTCTAGGCTTAGCAATTCTTTTTATGTTCAATTTAGTTTAATTTGTACATAAAAACATAAAATCTGTACAACTTAATGAGGTAATAATGTCTCAATATATAGATATATTGTGCAGTGTTAGCAGACTTAGTAATTTTAAGAAGGTACTAATGCTTTCTAGAGTATTTATACCCTCTTAAGTCTCTCCACACCATCTTTAAGTAGGTGTGGAAAACAGTACTCTCATAACATCAAAAGAGCAGCAGATATCACCAATTAGATAAAGGTCCATCACTTCTAAATACTTTAGACTTAAAAGTTAATGAAGGGCTGGAGAGATGGCACGGCGGTTAAGAACACTGGTTGTTCTTGCAGAAGACCCAGGTTCGAATCCCAGCACCCACATGGCAGCTAAGAACTGTCCATGACTCCAACAGCCTCTTCTGACCTCTGTGGGCATTGCATGACATGGGCGCGCTTACCTACATGCAGGTAAAACACGCATACACATAAAAAAAAAAAGTTAATGAAAAAGTATCCTTACATATAAGGACATATCCTAACATTATACATGATCATCTCTAACCTATAAACACACACACTGGGTTCTACTTTACTCAGAACCACAAAACTAGAATAATGTTTATCACAATGGTGCATCTTTCTAACTGAAAAGAATACTCAACTAAACATAATTACTAAGACAAATGAGAAAGCCCTTAGAAAATGACCTCTGTTAAAAGAGCAAATAATGGGTTATACATATAGTTCAGTGGTAGAGCATTTGCCTAACAAGAACAAGGTCCAAGATTCTGTTCTCAGCACTGAGGGAGGTTAAAAAAAACATGCTGGGTGTGGTGGTGCATGCCTTTAATCCCAGGACTTGGGAGGCAGAGGCAGGCAGATCTCTGTGAGTTCAAGGCCAGCCTGGTCTACATAGTGAGTTCCAGGACAGCTGGGGCTACAGGGAGACCCTGTCTCAAAAAGACCACCCCCCAGAAAAAAACACACCAAAAAAAAAAAACCACATTGGGGCTGGAGAGACAGCTCAGTGGTTAAGAGCACTGGCTGCTCTTGTAGAGGACCCCAGTTTGATTTCCAGAACCCACATAGTAGCCCTCAACCATCCGTAACTCCAGTTCCAGGGGGATATGATACCCTCTTCTGACCTCCTCAGTCATTGTACATGGGAGCTCTGACATACATGCAGGCAACATACTCATACACATAAAATAAAAATAATACATAAAATATTTTTTAAAAATAAAGGAGCAAATCTGTCTTTTCAGTTTCCTCGTATATAAGGAGATATTTGTTTGTTTGGATACTTTTATTTCTCAGTGCATCACTGTAAGATTTACCCACTTCTTATTTTCCATGAGGAATAAGCTTAACTAAATTCCCTCCAGCTCTGTGTTTTGCTTCAGTCTTGATTTGTCAGAAATTGCTGGAAGACAGTATACTATCTCATCACCACAATGTTGGTCTTGGGTCTCACTACATTGCAGGCTGACAAAGTCTGCTGCAAGAAGAGAGACTCCTAACACAGGAAGAGAGTCTACTTCTTCTTTATCAAATAAGTTATACCTCTTCCCAGCACTACTGAATGGTGCTTTGAGATTATCTGGTCCTCAAAGATCAAATAAAAAAATCAACCAGAGGCTTTTAATTAAAACAGAATCAAGATTAAACTTATACAAAATTTTAACAAATAAAATATCTGTATTATACAAATGAGTAAGAACTAAAATTTTAAAACAAAAAATTAAAGAAAATTTCTACTGGATCAATAAGTAAGTTTATTTATATGCAATTTAAGAGAAAGTTTACCTTGGGTTGCAATGTAGTGGCTTGGTCTCTGATAGCCCTAAAATAAGGAAAAAAAATGGTTATCATTTTTACATTAGTATTAAAATTAAATAAATGAAGGCATAAAAAGATGAAGACAACCACCTGTTAAGATTAAGTTATAGTAAAAAGACCAGAAATAAGAAGTGAACATAGAGTTCACTTCCCAAACCTATGTGATATGAAAGGTCAACAGAAGACAAAGTGTAAATATTTTAAAGCCTCTGATTAGAATATATATTGTATAATTGAATTTTTTTTGCCATGAAATAACCTCAGAGATTTTGTTTGGTTTCAGTAAAATGTTTATGCCTTCATGTAAATGTTTAAACATTCATTCCTGGTAAAATTTTGTTTAAAAACATTAATTTTTATTGTATCATCCAAAGTACAACACACTGCATTACAAATGGACGAGGACATATTAGAACCAGAAAAGAAAAAAAAACAGAACATTCCAATGTTAGAGCTGGACAATGCATGCGTGTCTCAAATCAAAGTCCTGAAGAGATTTATTTTTATTTTTAACGTTTTTTGGTAATAGTCCTGTTCCTTATTATGTTCAGGAATCAGCAAAAACTATTTTGCGTGTGCTGATTATGCTAATTTAAACACATGTAAGTGTAGGTACACACATATATAGGGGAAAAATTTTTTCAGAACTTTACTTTTTCTTGGATAAAAAAGTTTAGTACTTTCTAATTTTTAGTGTGCAAATGCTATGTGAAAATTTAATACTTTTCAGAACTATTTGTGTGTTATTGATCTCAAATGGTTTAACTTGCCATAGACGAGTTGAAAAAAAAATTGATGACATGGTAAGGTTAAGTTGTAAGTTTGCTTTACTTTTAACTAGGGGATTTATTAGGAGTCTGAAGATTTGTACAGATTTTGGTGAGGGCAACTCAGAACACAGACAAATGAATGTGGAGGGAGGTTTCTAACCTAAACGCTGAATGCTGTGTGCATTATACTACAGAAAATGCTGAAGATGCCAAGTTAATGTCAAAATAGCAGAATGTTTTATGGAAATTTTTAATGAAATATTTACTATTCACATATATATTTCAAGTAAAATAAACAAATAAGAGAAAGAAATTATGATTGTGTACTAAATAATTAGCCAAAAATACACTGGGAGAGGTTGGATAACAAGTTTTATTTAGAACACAGTCCAACCCTATGAATGGTAAAATGGTATTGTAATAAAGCTACATTGTGTATGTATCAAAGCAGATAACCCAGGTTAAATAAGACGGAAAGACAATTAGGAAGCTGTAAGTAAAATGTTGATTTCTTTTACTCTACAGAGAAAATTAGTTTAGTTTTTCATGTTGATTCATCTAACAAATTTAAAAACTGAACAAGAATAAAATTATGATGAAATATTTAACCAATACACTCATATATTATTCTTTATTATTCTTAATACATTAAACCAACTAGTTATAATTATCAAAAGAACTGAAAACATGACATTTATAAGTGTGATGAAAATTATTTCCTATTAATAAAAATTAGAAAAGGTTGGATCTTATATTTCATCTTCACTATAGAAATGCTGTATCTATATTTTATAATGCTGTACTATATTTTTTGGAGACAGGGTCTCTCTGTGGCCCCAGCTGGCCTGGAACTCACTATATAGAACAGGCTGGCCTTGATCTCTCAGAGATCGTCCTGCATCTGCCTCTCAAGTGCTGGGATTAAAGGAGTGTACCACTACAACTGGCTGTAGTACATTTTGACTTAGAAATATGCATAGCTTGATTCAATTCATTTCAGCACTTTGATTTAAATTATGAAAAATAAATGAAACTCAGAGACTGCCAAATGTATGCTGGGCACTTTGCTGACTGTTCAATCCTTGTTACTTCACGTCATTCTAATAGCAAAGTGATGAGGTTAATACTACTATCACATCCCCTGTGAAGTTGAGAAAACTGAAGCACAAAGCAGTAACACTCCCAAGAGCTCCAGTATGGTTTTAAGATTTATTATTATTACTTTTAAAATTTTATGTGTATGGTTGTTTGTCTGCATGCGTGTATAGTACCACATGCATGTCTGGTTCCCATGAGAGTCAGAAGAGGGTGGTGAATACCTTGCAACTGGAGTTACATTTGTCATGTGCATGCTGGGAACTGAACTAGCAAGTGCTCTTAACTGCTAAGCTATCTCTCCAGCCCTTTCAGTGTGATTTTAAATGAAGGAATAGAGCCAAAGAGCCTGCCCTCCATATATATATATATATTATATATATGATAATGTTTTGCCTCCTTGGCAAGTTTTTATTTGATTTGATACTTCCCTTAAATAAAAAATTTTCCTCTACATATATGTATGTAACCAAAATTTAAATACAATAGATGGTGAAAACAGACTTTCAGTTGTATGACTGGAAGAATTGTATTACTTTACAAGCCAAAATCACACACCACAAAATAGTCTCCCTACTCATCATATTTATTTAGTCCAAGCTGGCCTTGAACTGACTGTGTAGCCAAGGATGCCTCTGCATGTCTTATCTTCCTGCCTCCACCTCCCAAGTGCTGGGATTGCAGGCAAATGCCACCATACCTGCTTTATGCAGTACTGGGGATTGAACTCAGGGCTTCATGCATGCTTGGCAAGCATTCTACCAATTGAGCTACATCCCCAGCCCCATCCTTCCTTATTTTTAACATCAGAAGTCAAACATAAAGAACAAAATTTCAAAGCACTAATACACATACTATCCAGCTTCTCACATATGCTTGGGAAAGGGTAAGAATAAAAGCCCAAAACAAAGCTCATCAACAAATAAAAGTCAAATACATAACAAATTATTGAAGCTGAAAATAGCCCTGTTTTTCTACACAAGAAAAGGGAGGGAGATAAAATAGATCTTTAACATGTGAAAGAATTACAAAGAAACGAAACATAGATATACTATATGAGACTAATTCAGTGAAGCATGCAGAAATAACTAGTAGTAAACATTAGTAGTAACTGTGATTAATAGTATTTATATTAAATATTGATCATAGGGTGCTGTTATTTACATATAGTGGTACTTACATCCCTGTACAGCCAAATCTACAGCCCAAACCAAAGTCAGGTGTGAAAGAAAGCACAACAGCGTCAGTAAGTACTAGGATGTAGAACAAGGAAGAAAAGTGTACAATTTGTTCTTTATTTTAAAGCTAGCAATCATTTTACAACTAATAACAAGCAACAAGGTTCACAGATGTAAGCTGATAAAGTGGCTGGGCATAAACACACACCGTGAGGACACTTACATCGATGTAGTTGGCATTAATGTAATCCGAAGAAGGATCATCCTCCACGGGCTGCAAAATGACTCTGGAGTGATCATCTGAAACATTTAGATAACCAAATGAAAGCTATTAAAACACCTCCATTTCAAGATATTTTCACGGGGAGAGGCTTAAAAAAATTTGGTCTTTATACTTCATACTTGTCAATATTCTGGAAAATTTACTACTATCAAATAATTTCGGTCACCTAAGGGAAAAGCAAGAACTGTACTGAGATCATTACTTACTCCAATTACAGTTGTGAAGACAGATTCAGTGGCTTGCCTCTCATAGCAAGAAGTTTGTAGGGAACATGTCATGGTCTTGACTGCAGAATCAGACTTGCCTAATTTCTAATTTTGTTTCTCAGGCATGGTTTTATTGGGTAAGTTCCTTTGCATTTTTTGGTTGCATGAGCCACAGAACTAAGCTGTGAATTTTGAACCCACTCCTTACCGCATTCCTTGAGAGACAGGCTAAATTTTAATGTATTTTATTTCATTAACATTTTTTAAATTATTTACTTTATTTATTTCATTAAAATTTAAAAAAATATTTTATGTTGTTTGGCATGGTGGCACACACCTTTAATCCCAGCACTTGGGAGGCAGAGGCAGGAGGATCTCTGTGAGTTCCAGGCCAGCCTGGTCTATGGCGAGTTCCAGGGCTAAAGGGAAACCCTGTGTCAAAAAGCCCAAAAAGTTTTAAATTATTTTATGTGTATGAGTGCTAAATGCCTGCATGTATGTAAGTGCATCTATGAGATGCAATGCCCACTGAGGACAGAAGAGGGTGTCAGATCCCCTGGAACTGGAGTTAAAGATGGTTGTTAGCTGCCATGTGGGTGCTGAGACTTGAACCCAGGTCTTCTGCAAGAACAGCCAGTGCTCTTAAGTGCATAGCCATCTCTCCAGCCTCAATTTTAATGTATTTTAGATAGTTTAATTTAAATTCAGAATAGAATGGTTTAAGGAGATCAACTAATTATAAGTCACACCATCTACTACTCTCCTCACTGCTCTCATGGCTGCTAACAGTGAACTCTTCTTACTGCTCCCAAAGTTGCAAATGGTAATGACATGGCTTCTTGCATGTATGCCTCATGAAAACTTCATCCAAGGAAATTCTGAATAATTAACAATATCGATCAATTGGAGTTGCCCCCAGGTAAGGGAAAAAGGCATGTGGACAGAGTACCTCTGCAACTCTGAATACGTTTGAATGGAGTGTTACACCAATTCCTAACTAAAAAGAACTTTCTATTATTCTGAATATTCTTAGCCATTTGATAACAATCCTGATATACTTTGTGCAAAAATGTGAAATGAAATAGGAAGCTATCTCCACAGAGTAAAGTCTAAGCGAATTAATGAGGGTGATGGCAATTCCAGAGTCACTAATAGCCAATGTTGTTTTAATATCTAATAGATTACTTAAAAGGCATCTAAGATTCTCTTAAAATTAAAACCATGAAAGTTGCAATCACTATGTATCTTAGTATCAAAATGTAACACATATTTTCCAAGAATTTTGATAGGAACTTACATGCTATAATGTTTCCATATCGGTTTTTTGCTCTATTTTGATCTTTTTTAGCCACATCCCAAGATGCTGACTGACCTTCAAAGAAGCTCTGGAAAAAAAGTAAGTCAAAAAGCAGATCAAATTTAATTCTGTTCTTCAAAACAGGTTTATCTGTTTTGAAAATTAAAATGGTGAAAGTCACATTCTTGGATAGTTGGGGGGTGGGGGGAGGCAGGAATGCCTACAGTAGTGAGTTTCATTCTCAGACCTCAAGCCTGGCTTGTGAGGTGCATGTTTATTCATCTTGGGTAGGGTTGAGTTCAAGTTCAAGACAAAAAGTAACTTTAGAGAAAAATAGAACCTTGAAAATATATCAAATTTAAGATAGTTATACTTTTGTGAGTTAGAAATAGAAACAGCATCATTCTTTTCAAAACATACTGAATAACATATCAAAACTTTCAAAATCTACTTTTAATAAGTATCTTTCACATGTGTGCTCATTAGCATTTATAACAGAAAAAAAGCTCAGTTTTCTTTGATGATTATTCATTAAATCACATGCAATCCATCATATTTCAGTTTCTATGACAATCATGAAAAGGACTGAGTCCTACAATGGACATATGAAAATTATTGAGTCCTTTTTCTAAGAATCTAGAAACAGATGAATTTGTCGACTGGTTTAATTACCATATGCAGTAATTTAAAATATGGGTAAAGATCTTTTTTTAGCAGAAAATCTTTGTTCAACACAGAAAGCAGGGTCTTCAAAGAGTCAGCAGTCTTTGAAGCAAAGTACACAGGAATACACATGCTATAAACCAAAGAACTAGCTCTGGCAGGGTATTCTAATTCGTGTCTTTCAGCATATACCTAAAAGCAACATTCAAAATTTAAAGACAATAAGCAATCTGTAGATAAAAAGGTGAAACTCAAAAGACTGGTCTTTGAGATAAAGTATTGCCTGATGATGTTGTTTAAGTGTGTGTGTGTGGGGGGGGGGGCGCCAGGCTGGGTTGGTAGTACAGACCAGCTATGTGCACCAGACTGAAATTTCTAGCTAAGTGAAGGGCGGTAAGAAGCTTTTCCTTTTTTGCTGTTTTTATGGGAATGTTTGGCTTAAATAATTTCCTTTGTAAGATAAATCCTGGTATTTTGTTGTGAGTGGGAAAGGGAAATATGTTGGAAGAATTTCCCACATGCATTTTTGGATGTAGTTTACTTGACTTGTGTTGATCTGTTAGCTATAACAAGCTAATAGTATAGGACATTAAGCTGAATGGAAAACAACACATTTAATGCATCACCTTTGTCAATTAGAGGGTCCATAAACAAAGAGAGAAATTTAAGTCAATCAAATGATAGCATCTGTTACTGTACAGGGCAACTCCAGGTATCCTGTCCTTGATTTATGAACAGGAACATGTAAGGAGGATCTAACAAAGTATTTAAATTGAATGCTGAAATGTTATGGACTCCAACATCAAAAATCATAATGAATGTAGTCCAAGATAAATTCCTGGGAAGTGGTCCTTTCTTTTACACCCCCCCACAATCCATTAATAGACCTGATTTCACATCCATAAATGCTGGATTAGAGAGGCTGTATTCTCTTGCTATGTTAAAGGGAGGAAAGTGCTACATTCCACTGAGTACCATGTTGAATACAGTATTGAAGTTTTCACCTCATATTCCTCTTTGAATCCATAGCTGTCAGATGTCTTCATGAGATTAATGTGCTGCAGTAAGTCGGCCACCCTGATGGCTGGGTGCAGCTGTCCTGTCTGGTAAGGGGACTCTGTCCCCTCACAGAGGTAACGAGGAACATCCAGAAGGCGACTAGACTCTGCTGTGGCGCTGTGGTTCTCATCTGGCAGATTTCATATTCCAGAAGATTAAAAAAGAGATAAAGTTATCTTGTTTAATATATATCCATGCAAGGAAAATTTTAAGACCTTACGATCTTTCTGATCACAGAAGGGAAAGAAAAGCCAGCCAATGCCGTCTTGGGCAACATCTCCAATAAAGACAAAGCTTTTGCCTTTCATTTTGGCTCAAGGGTTGAGGTCAGGGTATAGTATGTATCAGCAACACAGCACATGCTGGGAGAGGCAGGGAGACATCAGATCACTTTTAAAAAGTGCACTTTTAAAAAGACATTTAGTTGAGTCATTTTTGTTTTAGCATTTGGAGTTATAGCAGTATAGGCTGGGACCAGAGGATCAGGTTTTCAACTGGAAAAATGTTTTCTCTGTTGAGTTCAGTGAACTCTTTTCCACCAATATTTCAGCCTCCCTCAGAGACCCCAATTAGGCAACCCATCGTCACGGGGGGCTGCTCTCCTATCCCTTCCCTTACTCTATTATCTGGGTTTCCCAGCACAGTACGCCCTGCACTGGGAACGCAGGCACAGAATGTCCTCCAATCCCATTCTCTTTTTCAGAAACTGCAAGGGTGTGATCCACTGGATTCATGTTGCTAGTAGTGCTGTTTTAATTGTTAACATACTTTGACTCTTCTGGCTACCATGTGAGAGAAACCAGGTGTGCTGGAGCAAAACGTGGGTACCTCCCTTGTACTTCCTTTTGGCTCTTCCATGCTGAATTACAAGGCTACTTCTTAATGCTTCCCAAACCTCTGGTTTCCTGGACATCATTTTACTTGCTCTATGTTTAAATCATTGATTTACTTTGTTTTCTTTCCTAAATTATGAATGCTTAGGGACAGACTCATGTTTTCCCTTTTTTTAAAAAAAAAAAACAAAACATTTATTTATTTTTATTTTATGTGTATGTGTGTATTGCCTGCATGTAGGTAAGTGCACCCATGTTGTGCAATGCCCACAGAGGTCAAAAGAGGCTGTCAGATACCCTGGGACTGGAGTTACAGACAGTTGTTAGCTGCCATGTGGGTTATAGGATTCAAACTCAGGTCCTCTGCAAGAACAACCAGTGTTCTTAACTGCTGAGCCATCTTTCCAGCCCTTCCCTTTATTCTTATTATGTATCAGGAGTTCAAGAAACACTTTAATGGATCAGTTAGTTAGAAAATCAGTTGAATCCCTCACCATCCACATTTAGGTGTAGGCCCCACCACAATGGTTTTAGTTGAAAATGGAAAGAAACTTTTAATTCTTTCTGGCATAAGGAGGAAGAAAAGAACAAGAACATCTTGCCTATGAAGAATAAACAGTATTTTAATGACCAAAGTACTAATCATTACAATGAAAAACATGCTTATATTTATCACATTTTAACTTACCACTTTAAAAAAAAACAAACAAATGTTTGAAGGAGTGTTACTTTGAAAAGCATAATACTGTCATAATCATTAACAGAAAAGAAAGTACACTTTTAGGGGAACTTTTAAGTGATAATGCATACTATAGAGAATGATATTTAATTAACAGTTAAACATATTTCAAGTGCTGGTACATTTGCCTGTTCTATCGCCAACTCTACAAATAGGATATGGCAAAAAATGAATTGTTGTCCCCATGATAAACATTTTTTCTTCCTGGAGAAGGAAAAAAAAAAAAGAACCCTACAATCAGATTTGTGTGCCTCTATAATTTAGCTTGATTGCATTTAACTTTACCCTCTCTTATTAAACTGAATGTCTTTCTCATTTTTGGCATTCATTTCTAAAAATATCACACACTGAATAAAAAGCAAACCAAAACACAACAACAACAAAAAAGACCCCTAATAGAATCTGTTGTGACCTAACCACCCAAGAGAATTATTGCCTTTTATTCAGGCTCTGCCCACCCCTCTGCACACAGACATTTGTTAGCAAACATTATTCGGTGAAGTTACCTCTGTTTACTCTTACAGTATAGTCAATGACTCTACCTTCACTAAAATATTACAATCAATAGACTGACATAAGGAATATAACATCTCTCAGTAAAATTAAATTCAAAAGCAACTGGTTTAGGCACTATCACAAAATATACAATTGAAGAGGGGTGGCAAAACTACCAGATAATGTGAGGGAGATAGGACTGTGATCACCCAGGCCTGTGGTAAGCTAGCCAGGGCTCTGTGGAGCAGAACTCATCTCCTATCTACTGGGGCAGCAGAAGTTTTACAGTTTTAAGAGACTCAGAGAAAAACAGAAAATTTACCCAAATTGCAGATCTTACAGATGATTGTCTTTCAGTTGGAAACAGACAGTGTCTTTTCTGTTGCATTAAGCGTTAATACAATAGTACAACATGCAGTAAGGTCTTTAAAATAATCACATATGAATTATTAAGCTCAGTACATTTCCACCTCATTAAACTGCCTAATATTGTGGCTACTAGTGAGGGTACATGTACTGATCATTATCCTTATTACACACCGAAGAATAACAACTTCAACTATGTCTTGATTGAAAGGTTTTCTAGAGTTCTTTGTAATATACTTACCAGTTATAGGGACTTAAACCCAATGAAGCAGTAAAACACACACACACACACAAAAACAAAAATATGAATCAATATGAAAAATTTCTAAGCCTTTTAAAATCTTTAAATAGATATAAATACTAAGCAATATTTGAAGTAATTTTCAAAAATTGCTTTATAAATACAGAGTGAATTGGATGCAAAACAACCATAAACATCACAACTCTAAGAATGATGAAAAATGGAACAAATTATTCTGGTATCTAGTAGGATTAATGAGATTTAGCTTTCAAAGAATGCCAATGATTTTTAAATCAACAAGTTTTATTTTCAAAATGAAATAAAATGCATAATGTGAGTTTATATAAACAGGTCAGATGACATTATTATGCTAGTTCTACCCTATCCCTTCTTATTTGGGAAATGATTAGAATTGATTAGCCTTTAAGCTCACGAGCATTGACTCATTTTCTCTTTAAAAATTCTGTGTAAAAAGTGTGGTAGAGTTGCTATGCTGTTTTAATACTGGAAAAGTGAACCTGTAAAGTACTTTTCTGAATTCATATTGCAAATCCAGAAGGAGCCTGAGATTTGTACCTAATTCTACATGCTCTTAGAAAATTCTTACAATAAACTTTAACATTTAGGTAACCCATTTTTCCCCAGAATGGCTGTTAATTTAATTTTAAATGAACTCTACTTATTAACTCAATATTGATCCTACTCTACAGTTCTCAACAGAAGATGGCATATGTAGAGACATTTGGTACCTCCCCAGCGATCATCACTCATGGCTCCTCCCTACATAATCAGGTCACCTGTTGCAATAAATGTCCCAATTCTCGTTCCTCTCACTGCTGATATGATAGTGCAGTCAAGGTACAGAACCTTTTAGAACATCTGTCACTTGTAACAACTATAACATTATAGTTCCTAATAATTATTACAGTGAATAAGTATGTTTTACTTAATTGAATTAGCTGTACCATTCAAAATATTTTATAATGTAATTTAAAATTGAATAAATATATAACCAATAGAATGATAAGCTGAAGCTTACATGTTCACAAGAAATACTAAATATAAATAAATAACAAACATAACATTGGGTGATTTTTGAGATGTACTTATTGAAAGTTTCCATGTTTCTTTGGGTAAGTATTAATTAGAAACGCTAGGGTATAACTAATATAGAACTCGTGAACATATAGTGCAAGCTGGCTATAACCACTGGTGGGTAATTTATTGAGAAATAAGAAGCAATTTAAAATGAAACTCACTCAATTCTGAAATATCTAACTAGGTTTAAAATTTAATGCAATTTTACAGTTGAAGAGGCCTGAATCTTCACAAGCAACACCAGTCACCTTAGATGTTACCTTGGTAAACCCAGCAGCTTGTTTTAAGTTTTTGAAACAAAGTACTATTTATTCTGTAATGTTTACATGCAACATCAAACCCCACAGCAAGATTCTAGCAACTTTACCTGCATTAGGAGATTCTTAGTAAAGACAAAATAAAAGCAAACAGAGTCCTCATGTTCACTTACAAATGGATTCTTTAGCTGCCATAAAGTTAGGAGGATTTAGAAAATCCTTTGCCTAAAATACACTTTCCCGCATAAGCCTGTTTTTCAGTCACGAATGGCCCCTGCGAACTGAGGCATTTGGTTCATGCCACGAACCTGGATATTTTCACATTAGTCATCTATTATGAGCAGCTGAAGATTTGTACCAAGCCTAATACAACTAAAATCTAAAGCATGTGTTGCTTCAAACAGTGTGCTCTGAGATTTCGATTAAGCTCTTTTTTTTTTTGGTCTTTTTGAGACAGGGTCTCCCTGTAGCCTCAGCAGTCCTGGAACTATGTGGACCAGGCTGGCCTTGAACTCACCGAGATCCGCCTGCCTCTGCCTCCCAAGTGCTGGGATTAAAGGCATGCCCCACCACACCTCTCGATTAAGCTCTTTAAATTAACTAGATCTGAATGTGTTGAACAGAATTGTCTTTCTTAGGACCATGCTTGTTTATCTGAAACATCAGTTCCTTTCCGAAAGGCAAACCATCACTATGTGGACAAAGCTACAACCCATGCAAGGAGTTGTGATTCATGCAAAACAATAAAATACAATAAAAACTGGTGGTAAAGATTTTGGTCCTCACCTAACACAGCAGTTGGCACAAGAGGCTCATTAGGCACTGTGGGAAAACAAAGCTCATGAAGGAACGCATTGCTCTAGAACTATATTTTCTTTATAATAGATTTATATTTTCTCATGAAACATAATTACAACATATACTTCAATTACATTATTCTGCAAGGGTAAAAATAAAGTTCCTCTTTCCATCTAGGATTATCTTAAAGCATCAAGAAATTTGTATCTGTAATTATAGTTCAGGGCTCTGGTCAAATTAAAAAGCCAGATTATATAACTTGACATTATATAGATTATAACATTAGGGGAAAAGAAACCATTCATTTTACATCTATTAAGAAGACATTCAGAGAAATAAAGACCTCGAATTCACTCTAAATCATTTTTTTTCCAGTTAATGGTGGGAAGTAGGTTTAATCCTTTCTCTGCATTTCTAAGTGGATACTTACAGTCACACTCCCAGAACTGACACTTTCCTTTACAGCCATAGAATCCTGAACTTGACGGATCTCAAAATTGACTCCTTCTAGTCAGGTACTAACATGGGCAATATAAAGGAAAGTCTGTGGACCAGAAATGCACAGACACCTACAACTGATTTAATATGGAATCAAGTACTTAGAGAGATGGGATACTCATATTTTAAGAAAATTTCCTTTCAACAGTAATAGAATTTTATATCATTCCCTATCATTCATCTTATAATGAAATAAAAATAAGATAGATCAGAAAGGCCCTGTCATGATTAAAACTGAATTCCAAAATGACTAATATAGTACTTTCAACTTCGATTCAGTGCAGAAATATACCAGGAAAATTGACAGCCTACTGTACACAAGACCAATAATTATTGAAAATTTTCACCAAGTTGAAGGCTTCAGAAAAAATTCCCTTTTGAAACGACTTAAGGCACACAACCTAAAATACTGCACAACCTTGCTGCTGCACGTTTATAATTTGCATAGGAAGTAATAACTCTGATGTTTACTTCTTGCCATACACCATGTTCTCCAAGTTGGGATAAGCATCTCTCTACATCTGTGACGAAAATACCTTGTATACAAAATATCAATGACAAACTTGATTTATTCACTTCAAGCATCAATTTTACTTAAAGATGTGAAGATATTAGGTAGGTTAACTTAAATTTAACTACCTTAAATAAAGATACTTTGGAAGGGTAAACCATGTAGGAAATTTGAAGATAAGTGGTATTACTATTTTTGAGACAACTATTTAAATGGACTTCATTGGAAACATTTTAAATACTTTAAAAGCACACACGTCAACATGAGCAATTTTGAAAGTATGTATGTATGTGTGAATGGATGGACAGATGCAGCATAGATTTTACTCTTCTCTGCAGGTCAATCAACTCATGTAAAGTTTTAGATTTCACACCAGATCTTTAGAAACATATAGACCAATCTATCCTGAGGTTAACTGTTTTTGTTTATGTGTTTGTTGCATGAGTGTGGATAAGTTCACATGTGTGTGGGCATGTGCCCGTCTGGGTCTAAAGTCGGCACTAGGTGTCTTTTCCACCCTCTCATCACATTATGTATTGAGGCAAGTTCTCTCACTAAGCCTGGAGCTCACTAATTCCAGCTAGACTAACCAGTCAGTTTGCCCTGGGATCCTCTGTCTCTGCTTTGCAGTGCTGGGATTACAGATAGCTTCCATGCCTGCCCAGCTTTTATGTGGGTTCTAGGGATCTGAATTCTGGTTTTTGTGCTTGCATGGCAAACCTTTATCCAATGAGTGATCGTCCCATCTCTGAGGTTAAATTTTTAGTGCTGAAATTCCCCTTGATCATACTAAATTATCTTAATGTAATAACTATTTATGCAACTAATTCCTAGAAAGAATTAGTTTCTTGTTATCTCAAGAGAAACTATCTTCTATGAAGAAAGAGGCTTTCTATAAATTTTGATACACACTAATCTTATTTAGGAAATGCCATTTTAACTTAATGCAAAGATATATATTGTCTGGGGGTATATGTTTGGAATATTTATGATTTTAAAATAAAATTCCTACAGTTTGAGGTTAAATTAAATCCAGTACCAAGACTGTACATAGGTCTTCTTGTAATTCCCATAATATCACCTATAGCTTTTTACTCTTCCCAACCACTGCTTCTGTCTTATTCTTTTATTATTCAAAAGTTATTGTTAAAGTTCAATGTGAACTTTATGACCTTTAAAATCATTTACTAACATTTTAATGAACAACTTACATCTTGGACTAAAATTATGTTGGTCCATGAAGGTGATGGAGAGAGGATCTTCCGCGTGCAGAGTGCTTTGATCAGCATAACTTCGATCCATAGCATTCACCATGTGGGTCATCTCCTGCCGTGTGTTCCCCATTACGTCTTTGCGCTTTTTAGCAAGCTTGCTGTCAATGCAAATACAAAGAGAGACCTGAGTATGAGCCTTGAAGGACAGCTGCCACCAGCAAAAAGGCAGTTCAAGTGAGCCTGTGGATAAGGCTATGCACATGGATTAGAAAGCCAAGAACTGGTCATAATTTCAGGAATTAAGATAACCCTTGAAACATCATGTTGGCTGGCTGTTGTAATATGACCTTACTTGTGAGATTTTCAGTATTCAAGCTGTCAACCCAAACACCTCATCACTTCCTATAGATCTTATTCTGGGTTCAGAGGCAAAGGAAGAGGGATAATTGAGGATACTGCGTGTAGTGTGGGGGGGAAAATAATAATAGATTACATGTATGAAACCGTCAAAAATTTTTAAAGCTTTATTTATTTTTATTTTACATGTATGCATATATTGCCTGCATGTAGGTAAGTGCACCCTTGTCGTGCAATGCCCATGGAGGTCAGAAGAGGCTGTCGGAGACAGTCAAAATTACAAAAATTAAAAATAAATTTCATAAAAACATTTCATCAAGAGTATAAACAAACACTCCCAAACTGGAGTAATTAAAGGAAGATTTAAGGAGAAAATTGTTTCAATGTTTCTCTTGAGTGGTTAATTCCTTTGATCAACTTCCAGAAGTTCTTGAGGACATGACTTAAGTTTGCTTTATCACAGCCACCCAACTAAAACAAAGAAAAGCCACATTTTCCTCTCTGATGTTCCTAAGCAAAAGCATCAACACATGTGTCATGAAGATATGTAGCAATATATTTAGAGCATCAATCAAAAACTAATCTTAAGCCTTTAAAATTCAGCTCCAGCTACACATAACTCGAACACATATGAAGAGACGGGATCAAACCTTATGCTGTGTAAGAAACGTACTGAGAAAAATCTGAAAAATTCTATACGAAAGTATAATTAATACAAATAAATGTCATCTTGGAGGACTGAGACGGTCAAACCTAAAAATGTGTGTTAGAATCCCCATGCAGAATGTCCACTATAGAAATGCCTGATGAATACAGTGGGGAAATGATGTAGGAGATTTAAAGTTACAGACAGCATTCTGAACTATCAGATACTGATCACTTTATCTTCCATATCAAAACTATAAACATATTTTGGTTCTCTGTAAATTTCATCCATTCAACTTCCAAGTTAAAAAAATCTACTAGAGGCATATAAAATTTTCAATCACATTAACCAGGCAATTTATGCACGATGTAGATATAGACAGTGCAAAGTTTTGTCCTATGCAAATTATATCATTAAGTTTTTAGCAGCAGTTTGTGCTGCCTTGGAAATACTAGTTGTCTTAAGAACATAATTTCTCAGCTAGACTGTAAGGTAAGATACTGTCTTTTGACTCTCATCAGTATTTCTACTAGAGAAACATACCACAAATACTATGAAGGCTCATTTAATACATGGAGTTTATGCTTACAGGTTTTTTTCTTTCAAAATCCATGAAGCAATGTGAGAGTTGCCCCCAGTTTATTTGTTTCTGAGTATTGTAATACATGGCCACAGGGGACACACACACAACACATAGAAACACAGACACACGGATCTAACAACTGAGCAAGACAGTTACAAACTTAGATTGGTTGATGGCTATATCTTATTTTTTAGAAGTAATAATACAGTATTAGTAATACATTAAGAAAACAAGGACAGAAGAATAATATCTACCAACACCACTACCAGCACCACCACTATACCACTACTACTGTCACCACCATCATTTATTGACAGTGCTTGCTGCATACACTTAAACAGCTGCTAACCCTTTATGTAGGTCAGAAGGTAATATGTCTGTACAGATGTAAGGATTTAGGCAGGTAATATAAATATAGGCCAGAGGTGAGGCACCATGCAGAGGGGCAATGACTGAAGAAACTAGGGAAAGTCTAGGGGTAACTTGTCTAAATGATTCATGGCATTTGATCTGAGTGTTTAAATTCTGTAAACCATGTTTCAGAGTGGGTATGTTAACTATCTTGATTTAAAGCATGTGTATATATGTGTGTGTGTCTGTATGTAGGTATGTGCCCTTGAGTGCAGGTACCTGCGGAGGCCAAGTATCAGGTCCCCCAAGAGCTGAAGTTACAGACACAGTTGTGAGCTGTCTAACATAGGTGCTGGCAACCAAATTTCAGTTGTCTGCAGGGGCAGTACATGCCCTTAACAGCTGAGTTATCCCTCCAACCCCAGTTTTTTTTTGTTTTTTTTTTTAAAAAAAACAACAATGTTTGAGCCAACTTAAATACTACTAGGCCATATTTAGCTAGTGGTCTTCCACATGCCAAACTTTCTTCTAGAGTTGGCCATCATGTAAGATTTTTCTCTTTGGGCCCATAACATTCTTTAGCCTCTAATACCTGATTAACTTCTACTCAATTTGTCTCAAAATTAACTTTCTTGGGAGACTTTATATGAACTATCCAAGTAGCACCTGTTTCAGGTGACTTTTATAGCAATGTTTCTCTTGTAATGATGCTCCTCCTAGAGCATTATAAGTATTTTTTCAGTTGTTTTCCACACTATACTCCATGAAGAGAAAGATCATGTGTATATCATTGGTGTCGGAGCAGTGCCAGGATACAACACAGGCACAACGCAGGCACTAAATAATTCTTGTTGAAGAGATAAATTAGAACTGTTGTATACTTGGCACTTTCCATTGGTTAACTCAATTAATTCCAAGATCAATTCACTGAAAACAGCATAAGGATTCTAATCATATAGATGAGTTCATTGAAGCTTAGGGGAGCTAACTAACTTGCCCAAGATTGTTTATCTAATAAGCAATGAAGAATGACCTTATTCCATAGCCTACGCCATTACAAATACCAAATGGTTTGTGCTGTGTTTATTGCCACATTACAAAGGCTACTGTAAGACTTAAACACTGGTTGCTATTCATTAAAGAGCATGGCAATGGAACACATGTGCTACCATTTATACAATTAAAAATAGCAGAAAAGTTTATAAGAAATAACATATCCAGGTGTGGTGGCACACACCTTTAATCCCTGTATTCTGGAGGTGGGAGGCTGAGTCAGGAATGTTCCAGGCTTTCCTGGAGTGGGATTCATGGTAAGCTTTTGTTTCAGAAACAAAAAAACAAAATTTCTAGTTTTCTCTACCAATCTTTGTTTCTTGGGCAAGAATAAAGAATTGGTTTATTTCTTTTTTAAAGTGAGACTGATTTGAATGTAAATAGTACTACCTGAATTTGCATTCAAAATAACATTACAATTTTGAAGATGGGTATATAGAATGTAGCAAGAAGAAATGATGACTTTAAACTTTGAGGATTTATTTTAAAACATAGATAATTTATATGTATTTCCCGATGGAGTAAAATTAAGTAATGAATTTTTCAGAGCCTGAAAAGTGAAAGATTTCACACAATGAAAAACTTACTTTTCAGAATCACAAACTCAGACTAGTTGGCAAATTATGTTAGAATCTAACCTCTCTGACTAGCTGCAAGCTTGTTATCATCAGCTGGTCACTTCCACCATATTCCTCACAACAGCCCTGTGAGGTAGGCTTTCAGTCAAGTTATTATGAACCAAAGTAAATTAATGTTAGTGTTCAGTGTTTATATCAAAAACTAAGTTACTGTGGCATAATGCCAATGAAAATTAGCTCAAAGATCTTCTGGGTTTTTTTGCTTTACTTTCTACTCCAATTTATTTCAACTTTTATAAAAACAATCATTCAGATTAGCATAACTAGGTATGTTTAAGTAGTCTTTAAAGGTGTATCTCTGTGACATTTTTGTCTAGCTGGATTTAAAGTGCCAGTAGCCCACTTCACAGTAATGGTATAATCTCTGTCTAGAACACAGAGATGTTAACCATGAACAAAAATGGAATCCTGTTCTAATTTTACAGATACATTGACAGTGGTAGGCTTATTGACATCCTCTTAACTAAATACTTATTGATTTTACTATGTCTCATGCTTTGTCTTCCCCTGAGCAATGAACACATATAATGTGCACTTCAGGACAGTTAAGCAAATCATTTTGCAAGTACTTGAGTTTGACAGATGTGCAAATGACTTTCATTATCAAAGCAGCCAACAGCATAAACTTCTGCAGGTGGATGTATGGGTGGGCCATAAAGGGGAGAAGTACTCCATCATTGTATGAAATGGTACAGTTAATTACCATTGGCTTCATCAAACATGATTTAACAAGCATATTATGATTCATCACAATAAGCTAAGAGCACTGCTATTTTACACCTGCTTGTTTTAGGAGATTGTAGGAAGCCAAATGTTTGTAATATTTAAAACGTTGGCAACATTGTGTTATAGTGATTGACTCATAAAATTATGCTGTAAAGCTAGCTGAAACTTACCTAGTGATACAGATGCTGCAGGCTATGTGCCCCCAACACACTCCATCTCTGAGGCGTGGACAATGTCAGATCTTTTGGACTGGATGGCTAACTACCCTGGCATCTAAAGCGACAATCTGAATATGATGCAGGAAGTAGAATGCCCAGTTCTCTCCATCCTTATGGAAAAAAGCTTGGCTTACCTAAGTCCAGGGTGAGGGGCAGATGGTAGAAGACTGTAAAAGCATTTGTTCCTGAGTAGGCTGACACCTTTATTCTTGTCTTTGTTTTATAGTCTTTGTTCTACTTAAGTTGTAATAAACAAACACTATTGTTCTTTCCTGTGAAGAGTTTTATGCCTTGGCCCCTACAACATACAGTTTTATCCATTTATTTTTACAAGAGCATACTATATGCCTTAATAGCCAGCAAGGATGTCTGGAAGTTATAATCCCTCTTAGATAGCTGAGGGTGTGAAAAGAGACGCTATCACATGTAACCCTGATCTGATTTGCATCCTGCAAGGGCAGTATGAATAGTCTATGGCTATCGCTGGGCTCGTTTTCTCAAATGTAAGAGCATTATATAGATAGAGATTAGGAGTTAAAACCATGTTCACTACCATCAGATTGAAGCACCACATTGCTAAAATAAGGTACATTCTTGGCTTAGGTAAATAAATGATGTTTCTGACTGTAGACTAAAGCTACTTATGGAAAACTGTAAATAAAAATTAAAAGTAGCTGAACACACAGAAATACAATATCCCTTTTTAAAAAGATTATCAAAACAGATAATAGTCTATAGTTTTAGAGTCTGGTAAAACATATTTTTTGAAATATCACGAAAATCACACACGTTGCTCTGTGGGTTTTTTTGAAAAGGGATACTGCATCTTCAACACATGTAAAGTTGTACATCACCCATTTTCTACTTACAGGTAGTAGGAGTAAGAATAGTAGCTCCTCCTGGCAAGCAAATCACAGACAGTGGAGAAAGAGAAGCAATGGTGAATGAAAAGCGTGACTCGGTCACATTCAGTAAAGCAGAAAAATGTGCGTTAAAATAAAACAAAATAAAAACAAAATCTATGTTTTTTGCTTTGCATCTTAATTTGCCCATGCGCTGTTAGATTTCATTTGCCATGCAATTAAAGAGACAGATATGCAATAAAAAATAAAATTTGTAATACAGAATTAGGAAAAAATAACATGCTGCCATTTCTTATATTGCAAAAAAATTGAAAAATTAAATGGAGTGTGTATTTTTCAACATGCAGTTAAGCACAGTATCATCCATTACCATCTAAATGCCATGACAGATGGAACAGTTGTGTATAGAATGTGTATACTAAATAGATTGCTTTCCATTAAATACAAAACATAAAGATATGATGCTAATATATGCACCTAAGCTTTTACATGTAAATCATATCTTAATGGTACACAGTATATACATGTTATGTAAATATGCATGTACCATATGCTACATGTCAGTGAAGGTATTTCTACAGTAGATGTATGTGAACATGACATCATACACAAACATTTACTGTATTGAAACAGAATTTCAAGTTGATGTTGGGAATTATGAATGTGTTCATGCTGTGCACTTAAAATAGAATACACAATCAATGGGAAAATGGCATAAATTTGGAAATAATTCAACAGCGATTAAACTGAAAAAAATGACATTGAGTTCTGAAAGGTGCAATATCCCTTTTCATAGCCTAAGAACTTACTTTTTCTATAAACTTCTATTTAGTTGAATGCTAAATCATTCTTTTACAAAGCAACCCAAAACACATCAAACTTTTCAATGTGAGAAATATATCTATGTACACTATTTGCAGGGAGGGATAGTCTAGAGAAGCTTTGCAATTTCTCATGAAAATGCAAATTAGAAGCTAAAATATTTTTCTTTTCCATTATTTTTATTACAGTTTTTTGTAGTAAAAGGAATTCTGATACGACCTGAAAATTTAAGCTTAAACTCTGCAATATCCAATCTGTATATGTATAATAAACTACTTTACTTAAATCACACATGATTCGTGTGTGACGCATACTACCTATCAGCAGAAGTCCTTACAAAGTTGCTGAGTTAAGCAAGGAGTTGAGGGAATTTAGATATATTATACATCAGAAAGCAACAGATGAAATTTAATCCATCTGTAAGATTACAGTGTTCCCTAGGCATAGAGGTGCTGGTGAGGAAGAGAAGATACAACCTGAGATACTTTCTACTAATTAAAGCATAATTATGAAAATTTAAACATTAAACATTTTGATGGAGGCTCATTTGGCCAACCATTTAAATTATGAACCAGAAAAGGCATCAGTGATGTTGTGCAATTTTAGAGTTATCGGAACATGTTACCCTCCCCCTTTCTTGCTTGACTGACTGGTTTAGCAACTTCAGGAAGTTTGGTTTTCACTTCTTTGTCTTTCCTAAAACAGATCCACCAATAAGGACAGTAGTCAAAAAACAAGCAAGTCTTTTAAAATAAACAACATATCCAACTAACTTTAACTCCATTCTGAGGAGGACACAGCCAGAAACCAGTCGCATGCATCCAATCAGATGTGACAATAATTGTAATGATGAAGCAGTGTTAAGTCAGCTCTCTAAATGGCTTTGCTTGTTCACTCTCCCAATACAAATTTAAACTAAACAAACGCTTGAGATCCGAAGGTTATATTCCATCATTTTATTGATCTTTATTGGAAAACTAGTATTTCTTAAATATTTAAATGTTCTTGCCCCATCTATGATGTGTTTTCCAGTCACAGAGGTAGACAAGAGCAGAGAGAGAAAGCACTGTTTGGGGAAAGCACATATGTAGCTAATTGAACACAAAACACTGTGATGCGTACCTAATGTTTCTAATGCAGATGTGTCTTCTCCAACATATATACCTCCAGGGGGTCATTGTAAAGAGGCAATATATTAAAATAAATGCTCATGGAATTGTTAAAACACGTACTATGAGTCTTATCTATAATGTTAATGCTTTATTATGAGTATAAAATAATAAATGATTAACATTCATGTAATATAAAAGCAATATTATTTATTATATTCCAAAAAGTTAATAAAGTATAACCACTTCTATACACAAAGCTGTTAGAATGTACTCTGCATGTAAAATAATTTTTTAAAAAGTTTTTCCAGGATGTAGAATCATACAAAATTCATGATTGGAAGGATTGGAATGCCATATTAGTGTGTAAGATGACGATTTACAAATTCTGACCATTCATAGCATGGCCAAAAGTTCAAATTATAAAAAGCATATATTAGAAACATTTTTGAGAAGGAATGTATTTTAGTCTCCAGAAAAGAGAAGTTTAAATTCCAAGAAGTTTTACTATCTTTATAGAATTCCAGAAGATGGCGATATTGGTTGATATAGTGTAAAAGATTGAGGATCAATTAAAAATTTTACTCTTCATTTTAAAGTTTTAGTCAGTGAATACTGAGTATAGATCATCAAACAATGTTTCTGTTCTCCTCATATCTTACTTGCAGTTCATATTTAGAAAACTACAGATTAAGAATAAATAAAATTCACAGATTTTTAGATCAAGCACAATTTTATAACCATCATTTTCATTATTCTTAATAATAATAACACTTAAGATGAATATCTCAAGCACCTCTGAAATCTAAGGGAATTAATGTTTTAATTAGCTGTTAGGTTAACTTAACAAAAGTAGATGCTTATAATCCCCAAACAAATTGCAAAACAGCCAAATAAGAATTCATTTAAAAATCATGAGAGACCCAGGTGCTGGCAATCTTGTGATTTATGAAAGAACTCGAAGGGAAAAATGTGAGAATTAGTGACATAAATGGAGAGAGTAGGAGCAGGACAGTATCATCTTACCTCTTTTTCACAACTAATACAACGACTAGGAGGAGGAGGATAAAAACCAAAATGCCAGCACTGATGCCCGCGATCTTCACCACTCTGTCTGTGTGCTTGGCAGGGTCTGGAATCACCTCTGGTTCTTCTGTTGCTGCTGCTAAAGGAATCAGAGAAAGAAGTAATGGAATGCCACTAATTACTATGGGATGGAAAACTGCCACCAGACAGAAGTCACCACAAGAAGACAACTTTTAATGTTTGAACGGCAATAACCCGAAAACCTAAATACAGAAACAAGCTAACCTAAAGCATGAGTCATAGGATTATAGGCTCAAGATAAGGAAAAACCTTTCATTCCAGAGTTGTGTTTTGCAGCTCCAAGAGTTTAAAAACAAAAAAAGGAAAATAGGACACTGGAAAGAAAGAGACTCCTGTTTGTAAGGTAATTTTTAAAAAAGACATCTGAACTGGTGTGGTTGCACATATGCATGTCTATAATTTCATAATTCTAGCCTCAGGCAGAAGGATCATGAGCTTCAGGCCAGTATGAATCAGTTCACAATTCAATATACAAGATTTGGGATAAATATTTTAGCGGAAGTAAAGCAATGCACTCAGGAATATTTCACTTTTTCTCACCTAATAAAACCCGAATAATAAACGTGGGAAAGGAATTTGAGATTTTTTTTCTTGATTTTTCATAGGCCCTTACTTCTCTTCTACCTCAAAAATCATGCTCAGCCCTCATATATATACACAATTAAAATTAGAAACTTTAATCAATACATAAGCCCTGGAAAGCCTCAGAAGACATTTTCCTTTTACCTCATTTACCTTGAAACTAGCAATGAAACTATTATCATCTGTGCTTTACAGATACAAAACCCCCGAGGTTTAAGCGAATTAAGGGTAGATTATAAATTGCTCAAGGACAGACATGAAATCTAATACATCTTCTATCTCAAACATGGCATTTCTCAGTTTCCAGAGCCATGGCATACACCGCTATGAATCTGTGACAAAAGCCTGGGAGTTTCTATGCATTAGGATTAGAGCTATTTGGAAAACTGCCTTAAAACTCTGACCACAGAGCATTGTTTATAGAGCCCAGAGACCATGGCTGAAAGAACAGGCTACAGACAAGGCCTACAGTCTAACCCCATACCCTTCTAGGAACAAAGCATAACTCTTTAAAGAGTTATGCACTTTTCTACATTCTGTCCTTTCTTCTTTAGTTACTTCCTTTGGTTTTCCCCAGCCATCCCACCCCCTTGTTCTGCATCTCAATGCCTGCTCCTGTTTTCCCACTGAAAAGTTTTGTCATAAGGTTAATGTATTTATTTCAAAATTAGAAATTAAAAAAGCTAACAAACATATCCAATTATTAATACAATTTCATAAAAGCTTTATTTTCGAGCTAAACCTATTAGAATATGTACTTTTGATAAAAGTGTTAACTTTGTAAAACAGTTCACTATATCTTTATTTCAATTGTATAGAATAAAATGTCCTGATGAACTAGAAATTAGCAACTATTATTCTCAAGCACAGAATTCCAGGCCACAGTCTGCTTTTTCCAGTAAGTAAAGAAACTTTGCTTGGCACAGGGTATGGCCTATACTTCCATCTGTAGAGTTTTCAACCTCATAATTAGGAGTAGAAGACTCTCAACACTCACTACATGCCAAACTACCTCATGGTTTCCAGTTCATCAAAACTTGTAGTAGCTATGTTGGACATTTCTTGTTTTTCCTGAGCAACTTGAGAAATGCATCTATACATGATGTAAATTTAAGTTCTTAAAACAGGTGGAGTATAATCATAAATTGGATGTAAAATCTAAACACAACATATTTATTGTTTGTAAATCTCAATTTAGATTGATTCACACAGATACTCCTTCACATAGGAAGAGAAAAAGTATGCTTGACTTAGAAATCAGAAACAAATTATCCTTGGGATAATTTCTATCATTTGTTAATTAAAGCCTCCTCTGATAAGGTTCTTTGCTATACTTGGCTAACACAGGGTAACAATGACAACCCTTTTCTGGTTTTCTGATGTACCTAATTTACAGAATTAACTGTTTCTGACAGTGCTTTGAAAGGAAGATTAGTTCTTGTTTGATGAGATCAGCATTGATTGTGTGTATGTGTGTGTGTGTGTGTGTGTGTGTGTGCATGTTCATGTTCGCGTGTGTGCACGAGTATGAAAGCCAGAGGTTGACACTGGGTGTCTTCCTCAATTACTCTCCACTTTATTTTTTATTTTTATTTTTTGTAAATTTTTAATTGAATTTTTGTGCATTTCATACAGAACATCTTAATCATCTTTATACCCCTTTCCCCACTGGCCCCCTCCCTTAGCCTCCTCCCCACTGGAATTCATACATTCTATCATTTGTGTTAAGGTTTATTGAGTCAAATTGTGTCTCCAGACGTCCCTTAGTGCAAGTTCATCCACTGAGGTCAAGTCAGCCTATCTAGAGTCACTTCCTTTAAGATGATCAGCTCTTCCCATACATACATGTTTGTTGCTGCTCTTTTCACATTAGCTAAGAAATGAAAGTATTCCACTTTATGTTTTCAGACAGGGCTTCTCATTGAACCTAGAGCTGGCTGCCTGTCCTATAAACATTAGGGAATCTACCTGTCTCATCCTCTTCAGTGACAGGATTAGAAGCATGTGCAAGAGATTTACACGGGAACTAGAGACTTGAACGCAGGTCTTCATGCTTGTGCTGCAAGCACTTTACTAACTGTGCCCCAGCCTCAGTAATTTTTGTCTTCCCTGGATAATTACTGCAAAAGACCATCACTTTGATCTTTCATCACTTAGACTCTTAAGATTCTCTTGTAACTTGAAAAATACTCTTCCAAACAGTCTAGAAATGATGTACATTTTAAATAGTCTTAATAATGACTTTCTGGGAATCCAAACTCAGGTCCTCATGTTTGCACAACTATTATTACAATAATAAGTAGCAATAATAGTTTTACATGAAATGTGCTTGTACAAAATTACTTTGGATACTTTTTGTTTTGAGAGTCTCTCTATAAAGCCCAGACTGATTATGTAGCACAGGCAAACCTCTAACTTACTTTGTAAAATCACAGACATTTTTTCTTGGTCTTGGCCTACTAGAATCAAAGAATATACATATCCTATTGAAAATCATTCAGTCTTAGAAGATAACAGAGACATAAGCAGTGGCTCTTAAATGAATATTTTCTCATTTTTTCAAATAGAGCAAAAAGCTGTTACAGTGGTTGTGCCCTGGTACCTCATTTATAATTTATATACATACACAAAGACAATGTGGAACATCTTTTCCAGAAAGCTTCTTGTACCACAAACCTTTACCCATTTTATCTGCCAAAGACTTTCAGAGAATCCCCAGTTTTCCAAAGCCACAAATGGCATGATTCTTTGCACAATGAAAAGAAAAAAAAAAAAAGTCAGAATTTCATTTTTATTTATCACATTTATAAAATGGATTTTGGGGAGGAAAAATAGCTAAAGCCTTGTGGTCACATAAATTTACACAAAAATTCAAACTATTCTGATAGCTGATATCAAACAAAATCATTTTCCCTTTTCATGACAGATAGTATAGATGAAACTTCTAGGGACTTCTAGCATCTTCAGAGATGGTGCACTCAAATTCCACAAATCCTTCTAGTGGATCATGAATGTTATCTTTTTTCCTCAGCCGTAGTTTGGGAAAATAGTTGACCCATATCCCTTGAAATCATCTAGGCATACATCTTCCAACATTACCAAACCACAACCAACAAGGATTCATTAGTTACTGGTATTCAGTGGGCAATTTTGACATTCCCGTCCACGCCCTCTGTGCAACACTCTTTTTCTGGGATTTTCATTACAAGATGCCTGTTAGTGCTCATATAGCTTCAACCTCTTTTCCCACGTCTCTGTGAATTGCTGTTCTTCTGTTCATCCCTAGAGAATAGGTGTCCTTTGGAGTTCCTCAGGGAGCTCAGCTTTTGATACGTTTCCCATGCTTACTTTCTGGCTTTATGATCTTACACGTTTCCATCACTTTAGTTACCATCCATGATGCTCTCTCTCAAATCAGTATATCTCTGACCAACACCTCCTGCTTGAACTCCTGACCTTGCTGACATTTGACTATCATGTCTACTTCTATGTGTGAGTCTCCTCGGACACACCCCATCTAAATGTGAACTCATAAACTTCTCATTCAATTCTTCCAGTTCCTCCTTTTGGTATATGACACAATTATCTAGTCACTGAAGCCGGAAGCCTGGGCATCATTCTTTATTCTTCTTCCTCCTTATTTCTAGATTAATATATACTTTACTATCCAAGTTTGGATGATTTTGAATGTGAAGATATTAATAATTACAAAAAGACAAAAAGCAAATTGGAAATGTCCCGGGTAGACACTGTCACTTTCATTCTCTTCCTCATGCAATTAGTTACACAGCATTACTACTTCCTAATTATCCCCCCTCCTTTCAATTTTTCCCTTCCCACCACTATAACCTTGACCCAGGATCAGCATCATCTCTCATATGCACACACAACAGCTGCCTCTCTCTCCTCCCTGACTACACTCTGCCTGCCTTCATCAAAACACAGTTTTGTGACAGAGTCTCCCTAGTCAAAGCACGGAAGTCACAATGTGAACCAGTATGACCTCCATCTCACAGAGATCCACCTACCTCCGCCTCCTGAGGGCTAGGATTAAAGTTGCATGCCACCACACCCACCATGTATTTCTTATACTCTGATGGGAACAATCACTGCACTGATGAGAGCCTTCTAATGGCCTGCATGTCCTAAGATAAAGTCCTTTAAAAAGGAACCATGCATACTTTTCTATCATGAACTTTCTAGTTAAAAAAAAAAAAAAAAAAAAAAAAAAAAAAAAAAAAACTAACTGAATAAATGAAAGAATGGTACCAATCTTGCACATAGCAGATGTATTGGCATATAAAAAATGGGTGCCTTCCTAAAAACACAGGCTATGATTGACTTTACTGTTTTGGATGCAGCCTGAGAGAACTTACCAGTTGTTTTGGGGCATGTCAAGTCTTGGCACCAGCCATTCCTCCATAACCCTGCTTCCCCATCTGCTCCGATCCACCACCAAATCAAGTGCATGTAAAT